ATTGCTCAAAGTATGATCTGATAGATTCTTCAGTGGACTTCCAAGGTAAGCCAAGACAAATAAGATCTGAACATGTCAGTTTTTTTTCGAGACGTTTTGTTTTAGCGGCTGAATTTTCAGAAGAGACATCTTCCATCTTTCGTTTGTTTTCCTTGGGGAATACACAAATGTAAAGCTGCTTACCCCAGGTGCCGTCGTTTGGTGGGTGTAATTTGCCGTCACTCAGCCTAATACCACGGATTGCTTTACTCTCAGGATGGCGGTATTTGAGCCCACAGGCGCCGGGGAACTGGGCCACCAGTGTTGACAACAGTAAAGTGCCATCCATTTCACTCGGAATTTCCACGGAGTTAGCTTCATCCTCATCTTCACTTACTTTTATGTAGTCAAACAGATCCATACCTTCGTGTTTAGCGTTATTCATCATTTTGACAGGATAATAAAGTACGATTTTCGAGTTTTTTTTCATATACAAAATTACTTAAAACTTACGACAAGCGGCACCGCCATTACAGAAACAAATGACATTGACAACCAGAATAAAATTTAAGTCCATGATGACGTCGACGTTTTAGAAAAAGTGATCAAAGTAAACATGAAAGGTTACCTAAAAAGTACAATAAAAAAATACAATTTTATTTATATATATTTATGTGATAACATGATTTTATTGAATATAATATCTTTTTTATCTTGTCTATTGCATAGTAGTTTTTTTATTGTTTGATTCCACGAAACCATCAAATTAAGAAACGTTTTTAATAATGGCAATTTTATTTATCTCGAGTAGGGATGTTCCGGTAGACCCCGATTCATCTTCGATATTTTAACCGAATCGTTCGATTGGATATCGTTCTCGAATCGAAGGGGGCGCTCCGAGCTATTCAGAACATTCGAGATAAACGTTCGATTCGGATTCGGATACGATATCGTTATCCAACAGCGATAACAGAGTTAGTCGGTGAAATAGATTATAAGAAAAATGAAAATCCTTTTATATACATTTTTAAGGCCTAAAATATAGGAATGCATTAGTCTTGCATTAAATAAATTAATAAAATTGGACAAAATCCAGACTTCCTTTCCATTTCCATATTACATTCTTGTTTTGTAAACAATAGGACGTTCACCTTTCATTCGATAACTGTGTTCTGAATAACGTTTGTAGCCTTTGCCGGTCGAGTAATCGTGCGGATGTAACGTCATTTGGATTCGGTTTCAACGTTAACGTACAATTCGGGTGTTTTGAATAAAAATGGAAAGAAATCATACGATATCAAATCGAATCGGTCGACAACTGAGTTATCGTAAGGTTTGGACCCCGATTCAAAACTCCCGATTGGATATCGTTCTCGAATTGAAGGGCGCTTTCCAAGCTATGAACATTCGAGTTAAACGTTCGATTGGGATTCGGATATGATATCATTATCCAACAGCGTTTACGGAGTTGGTCGGTGAAATAGATTAAAAGAAAAATGAAAATCCTTTTATACAAATTTTTAAGACTTTAAGAAAGAAAGAAAGAAGAAAGAAAGAAGTTTATTCACTGAATTGAAACACTACACACACTTATATCTAAAATTACAATTAAAAAGAAAACAACAAGTGACTTATTAATTTAATTTAGTAAGTGTGCGTAGTGGCTCAAGCGAGGAAAAGGATACGACTCAGCAATATGTCTATCTCGGTCGAAACAGACGCTGATTTTCAGTCGTTCCTGTATCGGCGTCCACTGAGTCCCGAGGAAATGGTACATGTATATCCTTCCTTTTAAGCCACACTACACATTTACGACACACGTATGTATTTAAATAAAAGTTATAAATATATGTAAATATCATTAATAAGTTGGGAACATCCGGCATCAGAGCATACGCTGGTTTTCTATTAACACTTTTTTTATATGTTTTTTAAATGTTGATTTAGAGATCCTTTGTCTGAGTGGAGGAGGCAGATTGTTCCAGCATTTAGATGCCTGATACCGGAAACTACCCTCAAAGGCTCTTGTTTTATGAAAAGGTGTTACCAATAAAAAACTATTTATCCTGCGTGAATTATATGAATAAGTATGCCACTTTAATTTTAAATATAGATAAGGTGGACTTTTGTATCTGACAACAGAGTGCATCAATGTAGAAAAATGCAAAATTCTTCTCGATTCCATATTCAGAATACCGTGTTGGTTTAATACAGGTGTTATGTGACTTTTCGGTGGAACTCTATAACAAAATCGCATGCAAGCGTTTTGAATACGCTGTATTACCTTTTTTGATGTGGAGAGAAGACAAGGTCCGAAAACTATATCAGCATAATTTAATTTTGATAAAATAAGGGAATCACACATTTTCAGTCTAATGTCTTCGCTGAGCAAATGACGAATTTTGTATAGCACTTTTAGTCGAAAAAGGCAAGATCTCGCAACAGACTCTACATGGCTCACAAATAGCAACCTGCTATCCATAGTAACACCTAAATTTTTGGCTTGGTTAACAAATTCGACTGACGATCCAAGAATGCTAATCCTAGGATCCTGTAAAAGGACGCTTGCTATCTGGTATTTTGAACCTAGAACCATAAACTTTGATTTAGTTGGATTCAGAACCAAAGCATTGTTATTTGACCATCGGGCGATGCTATCGAGATCAGAGTTGATCCTAGAAAGGAACAGTTTCAAATCCTGTGGACGTGTGTGAATATAGATTTGTACATCGTCCGCATAAAGATGGTAATTACAATATTTCACATTTCTTATAATATCCGCAGAGTACAAAACAAAAAGAATGGGTCCCAATATAGATCCTTGCGGCACGTCTCTATGTACACTGCTTACAGAAGATCTAGTGATATGGCCGTTCGACGCCTGAACTTTGACAATTTGAGCTCTATTTGTCAAGTAACTATTGAACCATTTTACTAAGCTAAGGCTAAGTCAAAACCATAATAGACAAGCTTAGCAAGCAGTAATGGGGTATTGATAGAGTCAAATGCGCGTGAAAAATCAAATAGAGTCAGTATAGTGGTCATACCCTTATCCTGTGCGCCAAGTATATTGTCTACTACCTCCAAAAGAGCTGTTGAAGTACTGAAACCTTTCCTAAAACCAGACTGTACTTCGGGTAGGATTTTATTTCTTTCCAAGAACGCAGTTAATTGCCAAAATACTATCCTTTCCAGTACTTTTGATAGATAGGACAGTAAACTAATTGGTCTAAGGTCTTTATAAGTGTTAGGATTAGAAATTTTGGGAAGGGGCGTAATCAGAGCAGTCTTCCAGCCACGCGGGAATGTCGAGGAAGAAATAGATTTATTAATAATATTTGCTATGAGAGGTAGAGTGTGCGGCTGTGTCAATAAAACCATATCTGAATTTATATTATCTTCCCCTGACGCCCCCGACTTAATTGAAAGGATTGCTCTATCTCACTTACTGTTCGCAGAGTAAAAATACTGCTGCTGTATTTACTTGCTTGAAGTAAGCCAATTCGGAAAGTGAAATTGCATCAGTACATGGAAGCGTTAGAAAGTGTTTATTTATCTTTTCAGGATCAGAAATATGAGGCGGCAAGGTCTCAGATCGCTTATTATAAGAAAGAACATCATTTTTTAATGTTTTCCATAGCCTCTTAGAGTCATTGGAGCAGTTATTTATACGTTGGTTAAAATATGCACGCTTTTCAGAGAGCATAGCTATATTAACTTGTTTTTTGAGGCTTTTATAATAATCTTTATGAATGTCGAGTCGGCTGCGGCGGAATCGGTAAAGAGTTTTACTACACAAATCAATGATAAGTTTAGTACTCAGAGTTACCCACGGAGTTGATTCACGTTTTAAAAGTACTGTTTTTAAAGGCGCATGGCAATCGAATAATTGCACAACTTTACTAGTGTAAGAGTCGACCATATCATCGACAGTGCAGAAAGGATCAATATTTAGGAAGCCGTAATTTAACAAGTCTACATTAAAATTATTCACATTAATATCTTTTATGGGCCTATAAGCAATACATACAAAACATACTAAATACATACTAAAGGTTATTATACAACTTCTGCGTACTTGGATGACAAAAATCCGTGGTAGTAACCCGTTTAGCTCATGGAGGTAGTCTCGATCTCTGATGTTTCAAATAAAAAAAAAATATTGTAAATGTTATTTACAAAGAGCAACCCCTAGACTTTCTTGCTCATTCTTCTCAGGGGAATCTGCCTTACGAATGAGCGGTAGAGTTTAATATTGTGACGATTTCAAGTGTATTAATGCTTACCTATGAAATAAAGATTATTTTGAATTTGAATTTGAATTTGAACATTTTGGATTAAATTTATCTTTTTTTATATTAAGAACAACGTTAACCATACAGTGAGTGAGCCCTGAAATAGCATCCAAATCCACTTTTTTGACCACACAGTCTGTGCATACTATATCAATCAATGTTGCAGAATTTTCAATATAATGTGTTGGTCCATCAACTATCTGTGACAAACCGCAACTTTAAGTAAAAGATTGAAATTTACGATAATTCAAACTGTTATTATCCAATAGATTAATATTGAAGTCTCCCAATACTATGATTTTATCGAAATTGGCAAAATAAGTTACAGATTCTGCAAAAGCATCAAGGAACAGCTTGCCATGGATGGTGGTAAGCCGTGCCCACGGCTAAGCGAAAGCCATTCACATTTACTCGAAGCCAAAATTGTTCTACTGAAGAAGTAGGATGACTTATGACAGTAGCTTTTACGTTTTCGTGTATTTAAAAGGCTACACCTACCCCTCGTCCTTCTTTCACTTCGCGCGGACGCGGGCGCATTTTAAACTTATACGAAGGAATAGTAGGAGCCAATGCATTACATCCCTCCTTTAGCCACGATTCATTTATGGCTACAATGTCTGGGCAGCGACTTTCCACCGTTAGTACAAACTCGTCACCACAGGTGTTAAGTGATTGGGCATTATATAGCTTAATTGTAAACAATTGACATATATATATATATGACGGCGGCGTCATCGTACGCTTTCTCTTACGACGCAAAACTGTAAACAACACGTGCTCGGATCACGCCACGAGACGCGTCACGCCACCAAGCACAACGCGCCACCGCGGCACCGGGCGCACGGTACGACTCCCCCGCCGCTTGTTAAGCAAACTGTATAAAAAGGCCCCGCTTCGGAACAGGCGGGCAGTCTTGGCTCTGGCGTGGCACGATGCACATGCTGTATCTAGCTATAAGCTTAACCTAGACTAATTCGGATAATTAATTTTAAGTAATTAATTATTATTTTGAAATCTGTATAAATTATAGATTAATAAACAAAGGGTTGATTTAAGTATCCCCGTATTTTAATATGTCCGTTCCCCATCCTTCATCAGAAGTGACGGATCCACCCCCACTTCATGACCATAGCAATATGGCCGATAACATGGCACAGCAAATGTCTCTTTTTTCTTCCGGCATGGAAGCCGTTTTTCAAAAACTAGCAGACAGCTTAAATTCACGTCAGGCCCCTTCATCCACAGCCCCTATGTTGTTATCTTTCGATCCAGATCAATCTGAATCTGATATTGTCAACTGGTGCGCGTTGAGTGAAATGATTATTGAAAATAGGAAACTAGAAGGTGTTGACTTGATTGTTGCACTGACTCATTCCCTGAAAGGCCGGGCCGCTAACTGTCTCACAAAAATACAACCAAATAGACTTTCGTGGCCTACTATTAAGGACATGCTTATTTCAAAATTTTCCAAGCCCATGATGATGCAAGACCATTTTGATCAAGTCATTCAGTTTCGCCTTACTATCAAGGAGAGTCCAGCTGAGGCAGGCATGCGCTTATGGCAACTAATAGAGAAAATACCTGATGCTAATCTACCTGAAAATGTGACGACCGGTTTTGTAATGTATTATCGCAATGCGATGATAAAATACGACGTGAATTAAACTCCGTAGTGATTAACAGTAAACATCAACTGTTTCGAACCCTGAGAGGCTTTTCCCTTAAAAGATGCAATGACGAGTCTATTTCGGCAGAAATCGAGCCGAAAAGATTCCGTACTTCTGCAAGCTTCAGGGGTACCTGCCATTTCTGTGGAAGAGCTGGACACCGTGGCAGTGAATGTCGAGACAAGAATCGCTTCATTAACAAAAATGCTTCTTTATCAAATAAAACAGGACCAATAAAGACGACGATTTCCTGCTACATCTGTCATGAGTCCAGTCACATCGCCAGCAACTGTCCCAGGCGATATACGAAAAAAGAAGACGTCGCAACAGGCAGCAAGCAGGTCAACCTGTGCTCCAGAACAGCCCGCGGTGTCTTGGAGATTGGTGGTATGAAATTATCATTTATATTTGATTCTGGCTCTGAGTGTAGTCTCATAAAAGAAAGTAAATGCAATTTCCTTGAAGGTGAACGACCTCACGAACAAATCGTTTTAAAGGGTATAGGTATCAATAAAATTAATTCCTCCTTGCAAATAAAATCTTTAGCTTGCATTCAGGGTTTGCTTGTAGAGATCACTTTTCACGTATTGCCGGACGATTATTTAAGCGAAGAAGTTTTATTGGGTCGTGATATATTAGAAAAAGGAGTTTCCGTTGAAATCGATAGTAATACATTGCTCTTTTCTAAATCCAAGGTCAATAATTTATGTTCGAAGCTTGATAGCCGTTCACAATCGATTGATACCGACTTAACGGGTGTTGAAAGAGAGAAGCTGATTTTTATTTTAAATAAATATTCCAACAATTTTATTAACAAATTGCCAACTACACAGGCTACAACCGGTTTGCTAAAAATAGAATTGATCGATCCAAATAAAACAGTCCATAGACGCCCCTACAGATTATCACCCTCCGAATTAGAAATTGTCAATGAAAAAATCAGAGAACTACTAGATTCCAAAATTATTCGAGAAAGTTCGTCACCGTTCGCAAGTCCCATTTTATTAGTAAAAAAAAAGGATGGTAGCGACCGTATGTGTGTTGATTATCGGGAACTAAATAGTAATACGCGCCCTGATAGCTATCCTCTTCCGTTAATTAATGACCAAATAAATAAGTTGCATAGAGCGAAATATTTTTCTAGTATCGACATGATCTCTGGTTTCCATCAAATAAGGGTTCATGAGGCCTCGATAGAAAAAACGGCATTTGTCACCCCTACAGGACAGTACGAATACTTGACTATGCCATTTGGGCTACGCAATGCACCGCAGGTTTTTCAGAGGGCCATTAATACTGCACTCAAAGAACTGAACGATGACAAAATCCTTGTTTACATGGATGACGTACTTTCTGCATCGGAAACTGTTGATGAAGGTTTAGCCAGATTAGATAAGTTATTAAACACCCTTTCCAAAGCAGGGTTTTCTTTTAATTTCAAAAAATGTTCCTTTATGAAAACCAAGATCGAATATTTGGGATTTATTATATCTTCTGGGGAAATCAGACCCAATCCTGGCAAAATAGAAGCTTTGAAAAATTTACCAACGCCCAGCACCGTCACACAAGTAAGACAACTAATTGGTCTGGCGTCTTATTTTCGTCAATTCATACCAAATTTTTCAAAACTACTCAAACCTCTATACCCCTTGACTGCTACAGGAAAAGGCAAAATTACATGGACTTCCGAACATGACAAAATTCTTAAAATCATTCTTGCTCATTTAACAACTGAACCTGTTCTCAAGATATTTGATCCTATTTTGCCGATTGAACTTCATACAGATGCGAGTAGTGACGGTTACGGGGCGGTGCTAATTCAAAAAGTCAATGGTTTACCCCACGTGGTCGCTTATTTTAGTCACAGAACAACTGATGCGGAAAGTCGCTATCATTCATATGAGCTCGAAACTTTGGCTGTAGTTAAATCGGTGGAGCATTTTAGGCATTATCTATATGGGCGTAAATTCACAGTGTTCACTGATTGCAATTCTTTAAAAGCATCCCATTCAAAAAAGGACTTGACTCCAAGAGTTCATAGGTGGTGGGCTGTATTACAATCATATGATTTCGATATTATTTACAAGGAAGGTAAAAATATGGCCCATGCCGATTTTCTTTCTCGTAACTTTGCTCTTGAAAACCAGCACTCTAAGCCTAATCAGAAACCTAAAACGGTTAATTTCTCTGAATTAAAAAAAGGATGGCTATTAGTTGAGCAGCAGCGCGATTCAGAGATCTCCGATATTATTGCTAAAATAAGATCCAATGACTACCCAATGGAAATATCACATACATACGATATAAGACAGGGTCTTCTCTTCCGGAAGATTGAACGTGGCAAAGTTTCAAAATGGCTACCTATTATTCCCAGGTCGTTAATGTGGACCCTAATTGGCCATGTACATAATGAAATAAAACATCTTGGTTACGAAAAAACTCTCGATAAATTGTACGATCTCTACTGGTGACTCGGAAATGCCCGAAATCACTATCCGTCAAAAAGAGGTGTTGAAAGCTTTACGCAAATTAGACGTCAACAAAGCCAGTGGCCCTGACGGAGTCCCAGCGATTGTCCTGCGGAACTGTGCACCCGAGTTGTCTCCGGTGTTGACTCGCCTGTATCGCCTCTCTATGAGTTCTGGACAAGTCCCGAAATCCTGGAAGCTTGCAAATGTACAGCCTGTACCTAAGAAAGGTAGCCATGCCGACCCATCTAATTATCGACCTATCGCAATCACCTCCATACTCTGTAAGACTATGGAGCGTGTATTGAATAGCCGTCTCCTTGGATACCTCGAAGATAACGATCTCCTCAGTGATCGACAATATGGTTTTCGCCGTGGACGATCTACTGGGGATCTTCTTGCGTACGCCACACATTTATGGAGCGAGGCTGTCGAGAAACGCGGTGAATCGCTTGCCGTGTCTCTCGACATATCAAAGGCCTTTGATAGGGTTTGGCATGATAGCCTGTTAAACAAGCTTCCAGCTTACGGAATTCCTGTTGGCTTTTGCACATGGATAGGCGATTTTCTGAAGGATAGGTCAATCCGTGTAGTTGTAGATGGTTACTCGTCTGCTCCTCATGGTATAAATGCCGGTGTACCTCAGGGATCTGTCCTCTCCGCCACTCTATTCTTGCTGCATATCAACGACCTGCTGCTGATGCCCGGTATCTTTGGGTACGCAGACGACAGCACAGTGGCGGTGAGTTATGTGCCAGACGCCCGAGACAACAGCGAAGAGATCCGGTGTAAGCGAGAGGCGATGGTCACCCGGTTGAACCTGAGTCTGAAAGCTGCTTCCGACTGGGGAGATGCTAACAGGGTCAGGTTTAATGCGGCTAAAACACAGGCGTGTCTTTTCTCATCAAAACGGAGTCCCCTACACCTTACTCCGACTTTCCGAGGTGTATCCGTGCCGATAAGGGACCACCTTGAGCTACTTGGTCTGGACTTATCATCCAACCTCAACTTTGGGCGATACATCGAGTGCTTGGCAAAAACTGCTGCCAGAAAACTAGGCATACTTTTCAAGGTCAGGCGGTACTTCACACCTGAACAGCTTTTACATCTGTATAAAGCACAAGTTCGATCCTGTATGGAGTACTGCTGCCACCTTTGGGACGGCTCTGCCCAATACCAGTTAGCTGCCTTGGACTCGGTGGAGCGTAAAGCAAAGAGACTTATTAACAATAATCCTCTTGTGGAGTCGAAGCTCCAAAATCTCGCTCATCGCAGAAAAGTAGCCTGCTTGTCGGTTTTCTATCGGATACATTTCGGGGAGTGTGCGCAGGAACTTTTCAATTTGGTTCCGCCCTCACCGTTCCTCCTTCGGTCGACTAGAAGGTCCGGAGCACTCCATTCTTATGTCGTTGATATTCCACCTATTCGCACTAAGCGCTTTGCCTCCTCCTTTCTGATGCGTACGGCAAAGGAATGGAATGCTCTACCGGCATCTGTATTTCCCGAAAAGTACAATTTGGGGCTATTCAAGGCTAGAGTGAATAGGCATTTTTTAGGCAAACGCGTCCCATCGTCGGTCACATCGTCGCTTAACATCAGGTGAGATTGTGGCCAAGCGTGTGTCTATTATATATTAAAAAAAAAAAAAAAAAAAAAAAAAACTGGTTCCCTAATATGGCAAAATTCGTCAAAAAATATGTTGACTCCTGTGTAATATGCAAGGCCTCCAAAGGTCCCTCGGGAGCTCAACAAGTACGATTGCACCCTATTCCAAAACTGGCTGTTCCATGGCATACTATACACTTAGATTTATCTGGTAAACTTAGTGGTAAAAGCGAACGAAAGGAATATTGTTCTGTTGCAATAGATGCTTTTACAAAGTTTGTAGTTTTGGAACATACTATTTCTTTAAATTCTTCTCACGCTATCAAAGCAGTCAAAAATGTTGTCAATCTATTTGGGGCACCAAAAAGAATAATTGCCGATCGCGGGCGTTCATATGACAATTCGGACTTCAAGAACTTTTGCAAAGATTACAATATTCATTTACATCTCATTGCTACGGGATCCAGTAGAGCCAACGGTCAGGTTGAACGAGTAATGCGTACCCTTAAAAATCTGCTCACAATAAGTGAATCAATATCCGATAGTCCATGGCAGGATCAGTTGGGTGAAATTCAACTGGCCCTTAACAGTACGCGTTGTAGAGTCACTGGTTTTACTCCCATTGAACTGATGTTTGGAACAAAGGGTAATTCCTTAGGGTTATCTCAAGTTACTACCAATTGTCTTAACGATGAAACAAACCGTTTAAACCTTGATGAAATTAGATCTAGTGCTTCTGAGAATATCATTAAATTATCCCAAGCTGATTCTCTTCGTTTTAATAGGGGTAAAGCTAGGGTAAAACCATTTGCCATAGGTGATTACGTATTTGTAAAATCTGAAGAAAGACATCAAACAAAATTAGACAGGAAGTACAAAGGTCCATTTAAAATTAGTGCTATCCTAGATAATGATCGCTATGAGCTAAAACATATTAATGGGTCAAATAGACTTTATAAATACTCCCATGAAAATTTACGAGAAGTACCCCGAGGCCCAACTGCATTTTTAGAGATCGCTGAAAACTG